GAGAAGAAAACTTATTCCCCTCAATTTTATTGTTCTTGGCTCTGTGTGGCTTCTGCAGAGCATGTGTGTGCAAAGGGCGTCTTAGTGTGTCCCCAACAGAAGTGAGTAGAATTGTTTTAAGCAGAATAACCTCAGACTGCATTCGAATTGTTTATTGTTTTGCTGACAGATGCTCAGAATGCATTTCATTGTGTTTGAGTCTTGATTAATTTTAACTAAGAATTTTGAAGAGGTGGATACAAACAAAGATAAAAATTCACAATTAACTTTATCGTTTTCATCTCAAAAAATGGAATTGTTTTGGCAGAATCACAAAGTGGATTAAAATTTGGAAGTTGTGTGAGGTCAATTTTGTAGAAAACATAAAAGTCCTATTTAACTTCGAGTTTGCATTGCTTATTAAAGTTATAGTTTCCTATTTTTCAGACTAGAGAGGAAATTATAGAACTTCGTGTTTCTTCTAAAATTTTCTGCATTTTAAAAATTTGACCATGATTCAAATAATTTGATAAACCTCAATGAACTTGTACTTTCAGTTTCCAGAAAGCCAATAGGCATGTGTGACGTTCCCTACCGCACTGCACACAACACACTGAAGTAAAGTTGAAGCGCAGAGATGATTCTAACAGAGTTCTGCACTTCGTGCAGTGGAAAGCCTTCCCGAGGTCAAAAGGCCGGAGATTAGCAACATATCGCTGTCAGTTAGCCCACTCCGAAACTCTCGTAATCCACTTACTCTCCTGCAAGCCGTCTTTCCGGGGGTTCGATGCACTTGGAGCCACACTGGGGTCCTAAATCTCATTGCAAAGCACTCCTGCCACTCACTGATTTCCAGAGCTTCCATCTAGGTGATGGGAAAGGCTCAAAAATCGATGAGGGCTGGGACACGAGGCTGTGCTGATTGTTCCTTCAGTAAACAGCACCTCGAGTACAGTTTGTAAAATTTCTCCTGAAAGTGCCTTCTCATCTTGCTATCATTTCTATTAAATTGAGTTTGTGAGCTCAGAGTGCTTATTCCCATAGTTTTTCCAATAGAGAAAGGTGATTTGTTGTCAGTATTTTTAATTTCTACCTGAAGTCATTTAAAAATCTTAATTAAATCTTTTTCCAGTGCTATGCCCCCGAAACTTATTAATTTTGTGAAAATATGGACCTAGATCTGAAACTATTACCTAAGAGAGAGTTGCATTAGTTGTCTTTGGTTACTATTATCTGCTAATGGTATTGAATATAGTAGACTTTCTTTGAGGGGTACTCATAAAATTTAATAATATTTGTCTTATTTCTCTAAAGAAAAGCATAGTGAGGAATGAATAGAGTGAGAATTTATTGAGTAATGTACTCAAGCTTGTATATAGAGATTTTTTTTTTCTCCTTTAATATATAATTGTTATTTTATGAGCTGGTTTACACACAAGCATCCCATGCAGATGTCTGTTTGAAGGGCTCAAGCTCTGGTTTTCCAGTTTAAAGAATTCCCTTACACCGATCCCAACTGTGCTTCACTGAAATAACTTCATTTGCTATAGATCATCTCTCTTAATTTTGCCTGTGGGGCAAAACAGCCTCTAATTATATGAATAAATTACAATATGTGCTCCTCTTCCCTTAGATTACAAGGAATTAATTAATTGATTGGAGAGAATGCTGATGGGGTCTTACAAATTTCTTTGTTTCCCTAAGCACGTCTTAAGCTAATGCATGTGCTTATTAAAATGAAACAAATGCCCGTGATACTGGAGTCAGCCTTCAACCTTGGTTTCTGAGGTTAATCGTGTTTCCTGGGCCTTCCTTGTAAAGACACTAACATTCGTAGCAGAGCCGTAAGCATGGACACGCTGGAGTGGTTGCCGCAGTAATGACGATGATGGTAATGATGATGATGTCGTTTATGAGTTCTCGTATCGCCATTTATTAAATAATTGCCATGGACCAGGAAATGTGCAAACAGTTTACATGCGTTTTCTTTCCACAACGCAAGCCAGTAAATTGAAGCCAATTTCCTTCATCGCACAAAGTGGCTTGCTTTTCATGGGAGCAGTGTACGGGTGACCCTCCAGCCATTCAGGTACCACAAGGATGAGCAGAAGTTAGTTCCAATCTCTTCTCCATAAAAGGATAATTTAGCTTTGCATGGTGGCACATGTGTGCAACCCCAGAACTTTGGAAGATTGAATCAGGAAGATTACCAGTTCGAGTTCAGCCTGGCCAGCTTAGCTAGTTAGAAGGATTCTGACAAGTTGAACACTACAAAGACATTTTTTGTATTTGTATTTATGCTTGCACTTGGCTTATATTTAAATTTATATTATTGTATTTAAGACTACAAGTAAAAGATAAATGTACCTCATTGCCAAGGCTGTGGGTTAAACTCCTAGTGAGCCCCAGCACCAGAAAAAGTTGTTGCAATTTCTTTTGGCTTTACTGATTCCACCTAAAAGCTACACATAATTGAAAGTCTGAATTGTAGAGACAGAACAAGAGGCTGAGAAGTGAACAGAGCACTTCAATGCCACTTAGAGGCCTTCAAGCTCTACGAAGAATTTCTTCCATTTTCAAAGACTAAATCTCCGTTATGATGTAGAACATTCTACGAGAAACTACAGCTAAGCTTTCTATTAAGTGGAGTTTGATATACAAAAAAGTTAAAGACCCTTGAAAGTTTAGATTTGCCTTTGTATCGAGCACATAGAAACATTGTAAATTAGGGGAAAACAGTAAAATTGAAAAAGTGTCACATTTAATATTTTATTTTTTGAGTGGTAATTATTAAATTATCTTGGGCAATGTGATCTGTGTATAATATATAAAGTAAGTTAAAATCTTGTGTTTCTTGCACAAGTGTTGGATTGGTAGTTTTTTCTCTTTAGTATTCAGTTATTTGCTTCACATGCATGTACCTTGGGATTGACAATGCTACGAAAGTCAGGCCGGCCTTCATATGTTCTGAAATATAATACAAGCCATTTGTTTCTGATGACCTCAAAGGTATCTCCTGATGCAATTTTCTGTGAGTGAAGCGAAGTGAGGATAACCCCTTTTCTGCTGGCCTTGAAGGGGTTTCCTAGACATGCAATGGCAGCAGACTTACCAGAGAAAAACGAGAGCTCCAAAATTGTCCAGTGTCATACTGCGCACAGAGGTACCCTGAAAGCGCAAGGTGAACAATGAAAGGAAAAACACGGCCTAAAGATTGATGCACCGTCTATTGTTTTTTAGGTGTAAGAGAAGCTTGTAGGAAAATTATGTAAAACTTCACAACAATAGAATTATGGAGAACAGAAAAATGAGCATATTAGCAACTCATCTCCTGTAATCTGTAAATTGCAAATGGAGCTCAATTTCATTCCTGTATGATTGTAAATGTGTTAGATACGACTAATAACTCTGACAAAGATAGGGAAGCAGGAGCACTGTCTTGTGCGGTTAAAAGTATATGAAGGGGCCGGCCAAATAGCTCAGTGCATTACAGCGCCTGCTTAGGCACACACAGCAGCCGGGGCTCGATCCCCAGTGTGCCCTGCAAGCCCTGCCCTCAGCATGCACCAAAACAGCAGTTGAGACTGGGTATGGTGGCGCACCCTGTAACTGAAGCTCTTGGGAGGCTGAACACGGAGAATCACTGAGAGTCTGGTCTACATAGCGACAGCCTGTAGACCAATCCCAGCACTTGGGAGGCTGAAAACAGGACGATCACTACGAGTCCGGTCTGTGTAGTGAGACCCTGTACACCCTGAAGACCCTGTCCTAAATACAGAAAAAAAGTATATGAATTTTCAAATGTGGATATATATTCTATATTTCTGTATTTAGCAGTTCTATACTTAGCAATATCTCATAAAGTAACAATTATTACTGTATACTGAGAAAATTTCCACCACGGTCCAATGGGGTAGATAGCTTTTTGACTAAGTTACGTGCAGCCTTGCTGTACAGGTGCGTAAGTGGTACATTGAAAGGGTGCACACTAGCAAAAGAGGTGTGTGTGTATACTGCCAAGGAAGATACATGAAGGGTGGTAGAATGGTGACTTGTCCTAGCAAAGAAAAACACTGTTGCATATTGGTGCATAAGGGTGGAGCACCACCAGGGAGCAGAAATTGTTGCTGGGTTGTGGGAAGAAGAGTTAGGTTTACCTACTTGTTTATGCATTTATTTCTTGTGCTTTTGTACTTCTTCTTAAACTCAGGAGTTCTGTGGAAACTGGAACAAGAAAGTTACTTGCTATTAGAAGATTCTTTCAACATTATCTTTCTCTGCGCTCCAGCCCTCTCAGAGAAATTTGCTGACATCAGTAGAAGCACCATTTATAAAGTTAAAGCAGGATTTCAAGAAAAAATTTCATGTACTTGAACAGTTTCATCACTGATGTGTGTGTGTGTGTGTGTGTGTGTGTGTGTGTGTGTGTGTGTGTGATGCTGGGAATGGAACCCAGGGCTCTGTGTGCGCTGGACACAGCTCTGCAGCTGAGCTACACTCCCACTCCTCATCGTGGACTTCGTCCCTCATTTGAGATGCTTTCGCTTGTTATTATGGTTGCCATGAACCTCTACGAAGGCATGGGATGTGAAAAGGTGGGGAGAGAGAGAGAGAGAGAGAGAGAGAGAGAGAGAGAGAGAGAGAGAAGGAGGGAGAGAAGGAAAAAGGAGGAAGAGAGAGAGGGAGACAAAGGAAAGGAAGGAAGAACCAGCAGTGCTGCTGTGGACACTACTGGGTGTCGGGAGCCACAGAGGGGCACTGGAAGCTGATGAAAGTGACCAGTGCCAAGTGGCTCGTGGCCCAGATAAAGCACAGCTGGGACTTAGGAGATGACAGGCGCTGTGGCCTGTTCAGAGTGAGCTAAAGGCCAGAGAGAGGGAATGTAGAAGTGGGCTGGGAGACACAGCACTCTCCTGCCTAGCGCACTCCCCAGAGAGTGCTCACGAGGGCTGCAAGACCTGCGAGTGTGCTTTCTGGTGGCACTTTCTCAACTGCATTTTCCTTTCTGGTTGCTGCACTAGGAAACGCATCCACAACCACCACTGTGATAGACAGCAAAAATGGATCTGTGCCCAGGCCCCCCGGGAAGGTGCTGAAGAGGACTGTCACTGAGGACATAGTGACCACGTTCAGCTCCCCCGCAGCCTGGCTGCTGGTCATTGCCCTGATCGTCACATGGTCAGCTGTTGCTGTCGTCATGTTTGACTTAGTGGATTACAAAAACTTCTCAGGTAAGGCCACGGAGCCTAGCTCTTAAATCCAATGAACAGCGCTCGCCCGCTTGCAACACCCACGGGTGTTCCCGAGGGGCCCTGAGGTCAGCTTTCCGCTCTGATTTCCTTCCATTCGCTGATGGATTTGGTTTCAAGTGAGACCCATAACCATATTTTCAGAGCTGAATAGAAGCTGCATGTGCACTTTTATGAGAATAATGATTAAAAAGCCCAGGTAGGGAATTAGCTTTGAAAGTGGTGTTTATCAAGCACCAATAAAGAATAATTTGTTGATGTCATGCTTGACCGCATCCAGGGAGAGCAGAGCAGGCCCAACAAGAACTCTTTCAGGCAAATGGAAAATATTTCAAAGCATTTCTGCATCTCTTGGTCATCTGGCTCCACGCTTTCTTTACAGACTTCTTGCTCCCCTTGACCCCAAAACAAACCATCCTATTTTAAGTTTCTGAAAACAGAGAGCATTAAAGCGATTTTCCCAGAATTACTTGGAAGGAGATGCTACATCTTGAGTATCTGTATGTCATTATGGATCTAGGGTAAAGCAGGAAGAAGGCAGAAAAGGCTGGTTTTCATTATGACATTCTGAGTACCTTGTTCATCTTTTGTTCATAGTTTTTGTATTTTTTAAAATTATATTTATCAATTTCAATGTCTGTCACTCACTATTGGTGATGTCCTGGGGAAAAAGAATGAACTAGGTGCTCAATTAATAATTAATGTTTCACAAGTAGACAAATGAGGTTGTCTTCCATTTCCACTTTGCCAATGCAAGCAGCACTGGTAGCCGCAGGCACGACCAGCTGCCCTCTCTATTTATGGGCTCCCTGCCTCACACTGACGATTTCCATCCCACCATTAATTATCAGGAAAAGTGTCGGGAAATAGCTACGCCACAAGGTGAGAAGGAATACACCATGCACATTATATAGCAGGGAACTCTCCCATTTGAGTTTCAGGCCTTGGAAGTGTGGTTGTTGGGCCTTGCGCTGGCGCCATCCTCTGCTGTCGAGCAAGGCAGGACCAAGTCACGCAGCCATGCAGTCCGCTCTTAGGAGGCCGCACCTTCAGTGTATCGTAACGCAGGCCCTCAAGAAGAATAGACAGCTGAGATGCCTCTATGTGAGACTGTGACTTAACAGTTTTAAGGGAAGAACAGTTACATTATTCTAGGAAATTTCATTCCCTTTGAGCCTACATGAACTTTAATATTTCACCTAACCTTTCCTTTATTATGAACTCATTTCATTAGGCTTTAGAACCCACTATGATCATAAATACAGTGTGTTAGCTTTTGTGATAGATATGGTTTACCAAACATATATAGTTTTGTAGGTACAATATAAACATTACTATTGAAAATAATTTATTCTTCATTAATAAGAGCAGTTATGCACAACTCTAATTTCATGTCATATTGCTTCAGCCTGATACATACCTTCCTGTAAGCCTCTGCCGTTCAGTCCCACGGATAACGCTGTATCTACGCCACTGGCATTTTATTTCATAGAGACAAAACTAGTGTCAGTGTTGCTACCGCGTTGCCGTTCAGTGTTTACTAAGCACGGCTTCAGCGTGAGGCCTCCTCCTTCTCCCGCTTCCTGTATTTATCAAGGACATAACTGTGTACTCATTCCCTACAAGACAGACCTGAGATCCCTTCACAGATCCCCTCAGGCGTGAGCACTGGCCACAGTCCACGGCGCCCAGGCCCACGCCGCTCGTTCACATGACCACATCTTCCACCACACACGTCCATCACCACACTTCATGCATGCATTCTCTTGTGAGGGCACAAAGTCAGCTTCCTGATAGCGCTTTCATCTGGTGCCTGCCCCCTCGTAGTGCTGAAAGGAGAGCTTAATAAAGCACAAGACGATGCCCTCGCGCACTTCCGGTTGCGTAAGTGCCACAGCAGGCTTGGCTCCAGTTCTGGGGCTCAGCTCTCCGTTTCCATCGTGTCCAGCAGCTGCACCCCTCTTTTTCAGCCATACTGACTTCTGGTCTCTCTGTTGGCCTTAGCACAATAAGCTTTCCCACGCTACCATTTCCTGCACCGCATGCCCGGGACAGCAGACAGATGCTGGCGAACATAAGGCTGGATTCTCATGCATCAAGCGCCGGTTCTCACCCAAGACCTTACTACTCGCTAGCTCTGTGACAGCGGGGCAGCCACATCCGTCTCTTGTTCAGCTTCCTTATCTGGAGAGTGGTCATTCTACTGGTGCTTTTGGAATAAGATTGTTACAAGGATTACACAAGGCAATATTTCGGAAGTGTTCAGAACAGAAACTGGCTTTTCATCAATACCCTATGAACTATATACACTTACAAGTACTACATGCACATATATTCACATTGCTAGCAGGGCAAGACTCATGGTTCAACATTCTATCTTGAGAACACTTCTTCAATACACTTTTGGAGACCTCGTCCTGCCCTTGTGACACACTGCCAGACTTGGTAGGAATAAGGCACTCCACCCTATTCGCATTGTCTTCATAACTTGCAGACCCCACATCATGACCTGTGGCGGCCCGTGCAGTAAACCTCTCCTGATGTCCCTCTCTCTCAGGAGCCTCCTCCTGGCTAGGCAAGGCCCCTCTGCTGCATCACACACGTGAATGCTTCTCACACAGGTTTTCTAATGCACATTACCTTAAGGAATTAAGAATCATGACATTTTGATTTTGAAAAACTTTTTTTTTTACATTGTGATGAGGCATAAAATTTTATTTGATCTGTTTTAAAATTAATAACTGAATTCAGTAAAATTGGAACACGTAAAATAAGATGCTCCTAAGATGAAGTTTAATTTTGTGACAGTCACATGTTACTGAATAGTAAGTTACTTCAAAAGCAAGTGGCTTCAAAAAATGGCAAACCTTTACTATTCCACCTACTATGTGACAGAGTTGGGAAGTGGACTTGCTGGATGGTTTTGTCCTCAGGTCTACACTGAGATTGCAGTACAGACTTCGGCAGGGGCTACCGTGGTCCTCTGGCGGGCTGACGTCAGTGGTGGAGCCATTTGCAGAGTGCTCCCAGCACTTAGGTGTTTGTGCCAGAGTGAGTGATCTAAGATGGCAGGGACAAAGGCACAGTGCTTTTACAACCCACACATGCAAATGCCCTGCTGTCATTTCTGCAAAATCCTTTGGTTCACACAGGTTGGTCCCATTCAGTATTAGAAGAAGGTACCCAAAGGAAGAGGGTCTGCCAGCAGGCAGAGGTCCACGAGAGCCAACCCAGGGGCTAGCTACCACGTAACTCACTGTCAGTGTTTGTGTTGCTGAGTCAGACCTTGTTAGGTGACTGGTGAGACGTAAGAAGTGTCTGCAATAATCCAGTTGGGAAACAGATATTTTAACAAGAAGCACAAAGAAAACAATGATACATCTCATTGACTGCCATTATGAGGTCATACTTTGGAAAACAAGACTTCATCAATGGATTTGACACGAGAAACACAATTAAAAAATTGAAGGCTGGGGAGATGGCTCAATAGGATAAGTGCTTCCCTGGCAAGCACAAGGACCTGAGTTTAATCCTCGGTTCCGAAAAAAAAAAATTGAAATTTTAAAGGAGAAATATATGAAAGCAAGGATGTGGTATAATTAGAGTATAAACCCCATACCTATAGCAATCTTTATGTGGACAGAACACATTTATTTATATTAAAATCCTAATTCCATTCATCTGCTTAGCAAGCTCCCAGCTGCTTTCATATCAACTATTCACTGAAAATAATTATTTGCTTTCAAGGGTTTCAAAAATATTAATGATACTTTTATGCTTTAATTCAATTTAATTGTTAATGTTCACTGTTAATGAAATTGTTAATTTCAACTGGTTCTGGAGACTGATATTATGGCTCTGATGAATCTTTTGATTCATTTTCCCCAACTGTTAATGCTTTAAAGACAAAGAGCAGAAGAAAGCCCACTGGAAGCCTGCAGAGGCCGCCGTCACTGGGTCTGTGACTTCTCAGCGGTGCTCTGAGGCGCAGGTGAATGCCTGGAAGCACTACACGTTGCTCACAGAGAAACCGGAGGCATTTTCATGAGCACATGCACTGCTGCACGGGCGAGCGACTGCTCTCCAGGCGGCATCTCCAGCCCCGTGTTTTCAGGGTTGGGTCTGGTTTGCTCATGTTCTCTCCAGCTCTGGGTCCCATGCAGAACTGGGTTTTCTGAGCCTCTTGCAGAAGGCTCAGTCTCCCTTTACAAAGGCCTTGGTACCCCACAAGCTACCACCGCCCGGGTCTGCAGACCTCACCTGGAAAGGGGGTAGAGCATGTGGCTGTGTGTTCTACCCAACATGCAAGGATGTTCCTTCTTAACAGATGCAACAGATGTAGCACAGTTTGGAGAGGGGGTTTCACCTACCCACCACTTCTGAACAAATGTAGCACGTGGGCAATATTCAAATAGTAGAGTTGCATAGCTGTTGAAGTTCGCCAGAGTGGCAGGGCCACTCAGTGATGCAGAAGAGGATTTATGATCTGGCTTCTTTGTTCATGGCAGCTGTGAAGCAGTTTACACAGGGCTCTTGCCACACAATTGGTGCCGAGCCTGACGTCCATCAGGCTGGACTGCTGAGGAAGGGACATGTGGGCATAGACTAGGAAAGATGGGGGACAGACTGCAGTGCTCACCTGAGGCCAGGGCCCACGCTGAACGATGTGGTGAGCTGTAGTTGTTAGAGTCCTTAGTCCAGATCCCCTGGTTAGGACTTAAAGACACTGGGCAGTAGGCCCCTGGGGAAGCAGGAGGGATGGGTGAGTCATCACCCTCAGGGCATCACTCGAAGGGCTGTGACAAGGCCTTGCCTAGCCAACCTGCAGGAAGTACCACCAGCTTCACTGCTGCTTAGCTTCGCAGCTCAGGCTCCTTTGACTTACCACCCATGTGTTACCTAGACATTGACATTTCTAGGACTTCTGGGAAATGTAGTCCAAGTTTACTCACTAGATACTGTATACCTTTCCTATAGAATGA